ACATCCATCCCTCTATAAGCCTTAAGTAGCGTTCCCCCCTTCCATTAACTTCTGCTATTGTAGGTTAAGGAGAGGGACATTATCACTGGCTCTCCCAACGCTGCAGTGTTGTGGTCTACTCACAATGGGATTTTATGATAAGTGAACTTCCTAGTGGGCAAAAATTTCTGCAGACATACCAGTGATGTCTCATGTTTGAGTCCGAATCAGCCTTTCTATGTGTTTACTAATATGGCCAAGGCATTTACTGATCTCGCTAGATTGATTCGGTGTTGAGCTCCTTTACTGGTGACTCCAACTTCCCGGATCGCCTGGGAGCAGTAGGTACGCGAGTTGAGTAGGTGGGTAGGTGATAAGTTACAAAGGCTTCTCTTCGCTGAACTCCCGTTAGCACTTACTTTTCCTGCCACTAACTCTGTGAAGGATTTTCTTAAACCTATAAATTCTTAAGATTTGTTCCATTTCACACATTCCACTGAACACTAAATACACATTTCTAGACAGACTCTGGACTGCAACTTTCATAAATTATTTCCTCTGCGAGTTTAATTGGAATGTTAAACGATCCTGGTATTTCCTCGTTAAATTTTCTTAAAATAGGTTGCTGCTACAATGGTATGGTATTTAAGTGGGGAAGTGTAGTTGAAGAGTTGCCAGAGATGTGTATGCAGCTAATGTGTGCCGCCGTGCATGCATCTCCAGGAATGACCTTACTGCAGCAATTGTTCCTGTTAAGCTACAATCGCACTTCTGCAAAGGTAAAGACTTTGTAATACCCAATTTGATTAAACTCTGCATAACTGCAATTAGCGTATCAATTAGTAACTATTTCTTTGTATGGACTTCGAATGCTACTTTTCTCTAGCTTTTTAAAACCTGGTCCTAGAACTCTTCGGTTAAGTAACAGAATTTTCTAATGTTAGGTATTTAATCATTAAAATTAATGTTAATCATTTTTAATACAACTCATCCATATTAAATTTACGAATTCAATGTTTTGCAGGATTCCGGAGTTAAGATTGATACTAGATTATAAAATCACTAAACCTAGATAATGCTTTTTTAATTAAAATTTAATAGAATTCGCACATCCTTGTATACATTTTCTTTTCACGGGTGCCTTAGCTAGAATGTTTTTGGTCAAATGAACACACGATACCATCAAATTTGATTAACTTCACTTTCAACTAGTGACATACAAGCTTTGTATTTGATATATTCCTATAAAATACATCTTTGTTTTCAAGGTAAAACCCGTTACGGTTCTGGCAAGATTCTAATCACTTCAATTTCCTATTAGGATTTGCCTCGGTGGAGATTGCCTAAACTACTACTGCGTTGATGACACTGGTCTGGTGCAAGCTGAAGGTGCCATGTGGTCTCCTGATGAGTGTCACACGTGTGTGTGTAATGGCAGTGAAGTGTCTTGCTCGAAGACTCCAGAGTCTTGTCCTCTCCCACCCAATAAGTTTTGTGTAGAGAATCCAGGACGTTGCTGTCCTCAGTGGAACTGTTCCTTGTGAGTGTCCCTCGGTTCTAGTCTTGGTATAAGATATGTTGTAAATATGATAATGGTGTAAAATACTGACAAGTTAACACACATGCAACAGTTATGTACTTTTTTCCGAAAAGTTTCGCCTACACAGTAGGCTTCTTCAGTCGAGTACAGAGGCAGCAGAAGCAGTAGAGATATAAAGACGATGTAATCAGTCCATCACTCATGAAGACTCGTTTCGAGGTGGTCAGTCCCTCAGCCTGGAGAAGTTTTGCTCTATAGTCTAGAACAATGTCTGGACTAGTCTGGAACAATGTTCCAGACTATGGAGCAAAAACTACGTCTTTGAGGATGATGGAATAATTACAATGTCTTTACATTTCTACTGCTTCTGCTGCCTCCTCTGTACTTGATTGAAGAAGCCTACTGTGTAGGCGAAACGTTTCGGAATAAAGATACCTAACTGTTGCACGTAGGTCTTACTTATCAAGATCTTAGCATCCCCCCACTGTTCTAATATTTAGTTTCTAATATTGTTACTAGTTTTAAGAGCTTTGTATTGTTTATTTGGATATAAAGCTGTTTACGCTGAGATTTAATATTATAACAGCTCGGGGCGGATTACCCCTCAAGGGAGGTTCCTTGATGCTGGTGAGGGGCTCTTGATCTAGGGAATTGGATCTGCTCCAGTTCCCTGAATTGAGCCTGAATTGATTCCATCCCCCACATGCGCTGTGTAACCCTACGGGTTTAGCGCTTCCCTGTGATTATAATAATAATAATCGGGGCGGATTAACTTTTTAATCTCAAAATTAAATTGTAATGTCTGACTTCTGGAAAGACGACTTTTGGATGAATAGTGGTGAATATAATAAATTGTTCTTGGGGTCGCCCTAACTCTGGAACTGCCTGTGTTAAATACTTTCCCGGGAATCTTTCAGTGGGTGCATTGACGATGCTGGAGAGCATCACGAGCTGGGAAGTTCTTGGCATTCTTCTCCCTGTACATACCACACGTGTACACAGAATGGGATGATAACTCTGATAGAAGACTGTTTCTTGCCCCCTCCAGTGCACCATAGTTGTACTGAAATTACACAGGAGAATGAATGTTGTCCACGGTGGCACTGCAGGTAAGGGTGCTCTTAGTACAAGGTCTTTCAAAATTTGGGAGCACTTCTGTGAAGTGCTGTTGATTAGACAAAAAGAAATTGGACAGTCTTCCTTTCTTGAATAAGCTGTTTTCACTCAGGTGCTGACTATCATTATTCGTAATGCAAATATTTTTTTTTAAATAGTACATGGTTGTCAATACACCTCTCGCTCATGTTTAGCTTCTTGCATAAGTGATGGCTAAATTTCAGACTTTAATCTCTTGTACCACAGTGGCTGTACCGATGTTGCTGGCAATTACCACGAACTTTGCCACGAGTGGACAGACTCTGATCCCTGCCTTGTCTTCACCTGCACTCCACATGGTATATCTGAGAAACTTTTGGTCTGTGAGAAACAAGACCAACCTCATGCTGGATGTTACAACTACACTTCCCCAGGAGAATGTTGTCCTAAATGGAATTGCAGGTTCGTTTACGTAGTTCTACATGAAACTGTTTTAAATTTAAATGTGGTTTATAGTTTTAACTATCATGAAAAAAACATTTGTAGCCTTGATAACACTTTTATTTAGCTCAAAATATGAAGCTCTCATCCTAAATAACAAAAATGTATGATTCTTCCTTTCAAATTTGTTTCTTCCAGGAAATTTTAAAAGCTTGTTAGGCATACATATCTAACTTTTATCCTAAAAATATATTTATCTTAGGCGATACAGTAACTGGAACAGTTAAAGAAATGCTGTAACCTAAATTGTCTGATTAATGCTGGTTATTTCAACTTGGTATGATAGCATTTCAGCTTTGATTCTTGGCTTTTATTTAATTTTATCTCTTGTTGTATATAGATTGTTACTGCCATGAGTGCTCATGGACCGGGCCGCGGGGGCGTTGATCCCCTTCAGGCATACGGCAAAGTGCTCTGAAAATATCAAAGGCAATAGCATAAATTCACCTCCACTTGCTGTGGTATATGAAAGTAGTCATAAGCTATACAGAAAATTGTCCAAAATTAAAATTACATACCATTGTTAGTCTGTGAATTGAAATTTTTTTTTTTTTTTTTTTTATATTTTTATTTAAAACAACACAATACATTAAATAAGTAAAAGAACACAGTATCAGTTCTTACTCAAAATTATAAATCTCATTGTCCAAATGAACACAGACGATTAACGTTGTGTTGTCACACCTGTCCCTCATCCCATATACATTACATCCAATGTAACTATGTTAAGTAAGATTACATCATTATTATTATAACCAAGGAAAACCCAAACCTACAATCTGCATTATTTTTTCCACTTTGTTATTTATATATTATTAATCCACATAATCTTCAAACTCCTTTACAATACTCATTATTGCCAGTGCCGACACAGCTGACACTTCTACCCCCCCCCCGTATGTACAGTCCCCATTCTAAATAACATACATTAATTTCCTAATGAATGGTCATTGAAAACAATTTCTACTAAAATAACCCAACCCAGCAGACTTCCAAACAAAAACAGTCAGGGTCATTATAAGACATGTAGGAACGAGTCCTGCAATCATATATGTATACATATACGCATGCATATACACATACGTGTATGTGCACTTATTCATAAGAACAAACTAAATCATACATAGAAATAAATCGCTAAATGACTTGTCTGCAAATAAACTAAATATTACAATCTATGATAGAACTATACAAAGACATTGGTTCCCCCAAACACACCTACATACACAAAGTTAATGTTACTGATTAACACAATATATAATAGGACCTTCCATACAAAATAAGGGGATATATAAACCCCATCAAAAACTTATATATTTAAGTACATAGTGCATAATGTACATATTCAATACAATAATAAAAAAAAAAAGAGGTGTATGACAAGGCTAAATCTATCTTCAGATTAAAAATATATAAGACAAAACCTCACATTATACATATAAATATAAACCTTCCTATATAAAATGATTCTTATAACAATAAGGGAAAACCGAAAATCACATACAACTTTTGACTCTGTGATTTTACAAAAAATTCATAAGGTCTACATACTCCTACAATAAACTTTACCCACATCAACCACCGTGCAAACCAATCAACCATACCTCACCAGGCTTCCAATCACACCAAGAGGGCGCACCACTGAAGAGACCAACCCCTTGCCTCTCACCCCATACTCAAACGGAGTAAACGTTCAACAGTAAGTCCACGATATCCCTCCGGAAAACTAATTACCCACCTTCCCCCATATAATTGTTTGTTCCTACATGCTGTCCTATAAAAACTCGCCGCCAACGCTTTTATCCTAATGTTCCCCTCCACCTCCCTCATCCCCCAAGAAACATACAAGTAATCAACTATTACATATCTGATAGCCCTTCCCACCTCTTTGGGTACCCCTTCCATATCTAACATTAAAGCCCTAAGGGGTGATATCTTTCCCCCCCCCAATAAAAAGAAAACCCTCTTCAACCACAATCTTACCACCTCCAACGCAGAACAAAAATATACTACATGAAAAGCCGTCTCAACTTCCCCACAAAAAACGCATGACGCCTCTTTCACAAAACCCATTCGTCTTAGCACCTCTTTCGATGCTAACGTCCCCATAAGAAATCTATATACTAATTCCCTCGCTCTTGCCGGTATTCTTAATTTACTAAATTCCACCCATATCACTCTCCAATCATATGTGGGATACACTGCCATCCCTTGCATTGATTCCTGACGACGACCCACACCCACTAACCGTTTTACCTTGAGTTTTTTAACATTGCGAACCTTTAACATAAACCGCAACATGTCTTCACACTCCACTAAGTCCCTGCCACCCCCCCAAATTTGCGGATATCCCCCATCACCTCCCCCACCCGAAGACCCCTTTCCCCCGCTGCCCGAATATACCTCTGCTTCACATATAGCGCCTTCACCCTAGACCCTAATGCAATCAATCCCAGTCCTCCCTGCCTTACCGCAGTCATTACTAACATCTTTCCCCAACCACGCCCTCCCATAGCCCCACACATACCTTAAGACCCTTCTTTGCATTTCCATAATATCCTGACTCCTTAATGGGTAAATTTCCGCCACTCCCCACACCTTACTATAAATCAGCGTATTTACCACCACAACCCTTTGATGCAAGGTTACATCCCCGGCCCTTAGACCCTCAGCCTACTCAAAGCTCTGTCCATTACCATTTCTGAATTAACCCTCCTGCTCTCCTGTGCATCTGCCAAAAACAAAATCCCACAAATCTTTAGCCTATCTACAGTTATCCAACCAAACTCCTCCCCCAAGGTCCTCCTACCCAAGCGCCTACCTCCAACAACCGTGATTTCTGCTTATTAACCCTCATCCCAGTAGCATTCCCCAAAAATCTCAATTACCCTTCCCACTTTTCTTAAATCTTCAATCCCATTAAGTAAAACAGTTGTATCATCTACATAACCAACAATATTCCCACAATATCCTCCACTCTCCCCCAACCTTCCCACCCCCACATCAACCAGAACATAGAAAGGATTCTGCATACATGCAAAGAGTATTTGGGAGAGTGGACCCCCCTGCCTTAAACCCCTTCCCATGCTTTACTGAACTACCCAACCTCCCATTTACCTGTACTCTCATTGATGCATTCTCATACAAAGTCCTCACCCATCCAACCACCCTCCCTCCAAAACCCATTCTCACCATACTCTCAATCAAAAATTCCCTATCCACATAATCATAAGCTTTCTCCCAATCCAGACCTAGAATACCTCCCTTATTACTACCCTCAAGGAAATCCCGAATACGACCATGACCTACCCGCATACTCCTCCCCGGGATACCAAACTGTCCCCCATGTATCACCGACCCCATGACCTTCTTCAGTCTATTACCCAAAATTTTCGCAAAAACCTTGTAATCAGCACACATCAAAGATATTGCACGGTAAGCACTCAACTCTCTACCCCCCCCCTTCTTTGGCACCAAAACTATGACACCTGTACTTTGCGATATGCCCAACTTCCCACTAGTTAACATATGGTCCAATAGCCTAACAAAACACTGCCTAATACACCCCCAATGTGCTCTATAAAAATCATTTGGTATACCGTCTATCCCTGGTGTTTTCCCGGTACTCATCCCGAAAACTGCCTCTTCCACCTCAACCTCACTTATACCAACCTCCAACCCCACTCTATCCTGCTCACTTAAGACGCTATGGAACCCCCCTTCAAAAATACCCTCCCAGGAACCCCCCTCCCTCCAACTCCATTTCTCTCTAAACCAACTATCAGCATAGAGACTCATACTTTCCGTATTGGATAGGACTCGACCCATTGGATACCCTCCCACCCCAGGGCTTGTCCCCCAAATTTTAGAATGGTGGTTACACTCTGTCGGTCCCGAAATTTACGTAAAACATACCCAGACGGCTTATCACCCCACAAAACATCCTCTAACCCCGCCCTAACCCTAATTGCATCAAACCTATCATTGTGTAATTCAGCTATTCTACTCCGCAGTCTGTCCATATCATCCCTCCTACCACCTCCCCAACATAACAATCTTGCAACTGTCCCTCCAGATAATTTTGCAACCCAAAACGCCACCTCGCCTCCTCTCGTCCCCTAGCCTTAAAAAAATTCGCTATTCCAGGTTTTGCCTGCATTTCCCACCAATCCAACAGATCTATCTCCCTGTTCCTAGCCTCCCAAAAAGGCACCACCAATCACTGAAAAAAAAGGGCCCCCCCCCCTCCTCCTTAAGAAGCCTTACATTAATTTTTCCCGTACCCAGAATAAATACGCACCACTCCATCCCACATCAAATCTGCTATTACCGCTCTGTGATCAGAAAACCCCACATCGAAGGTTTGCACCCTCACAACATCTATACCCTGCTTAATATAAATTCTGTCTAATCGCGCTTCATATCCCCTACGGACGAACGTGTGCTCCACTAGGTAAACCCCCCCTCCCCACCACATCAACAACCCCAATATCTCGCAATACATCCCTCAGCACACTCAGCACACAACCCGCCCCTCTCGGTTCGACATCACCACTCCTAATCACACAATTCCAATCACCTCCTATTACTGTTATAGCAGGCAAACCTCTCAAGTGATACAGCAATACTTCTCTGACAAAATCTACTTTTACCCTGATATTACTAGTTGCTGGCATGTAAACTCCCACGAAAACTAACTCGACTCTCACCCCAGACGCCATCCACCCTCACGATCCTCCCACCCCCCCCCCTCTTCCCAACCGATGACACGCAAGGGGCTGGTCTCCTTTACCGCAACTGCTACCCCACCTTTCAATTGCAAACCACTGGTTACATACATCCGATATCCTTTCACCCTCAACACACTACCAGCCCTGTGATTATGCTCTTGCAAAAAGCATATGTCAACATCAAACCGCCTTAAAAACCACTCCAACCAAACTTTCTTGACCTCAGTTTTAAGTCCATTAACATTAAGCGTAACACATCTGAAAATTACAGAAGGGGCGGCTTTCCCCTATGCCTCTGGGATTTACCCACTGCACTTTTCATATTACGTGTTCCTTGCCACTCGAGTTTTCCTGTGCAGTCACTTCCCCCCTCCCTTTCCCAATTTGCAACTCAGGCACACCTCTACCACTGTGTGTCCTCGGCTCCACAACCGCTGCCCATGACTTCTTCCCCGGCCTCTGCCCTGGGGTAATGACCTCATCTATCTCTGATGCCGCAGTTCGTTTCCTAGAACTCACACTTACACACATATCACCCTCAGACAAATCCTCCTGGTGTACCTCCACGGCCACCACATGCTCCCGCCCAATCTTACTCAAGTCTTCCTCAACAATTTGTTGTCCCACCAAAGTTCCAGCTTCACATGAACTGAGGACACCTTTTGCACAGGGTTCCTCCTCATCCAAAAAATCCTTGATCACATCTGCCAATAACCCATCCTGGGTGAAGCTTCCTGACGAAAGTCTCCTCAGATGTTTACCTTCAACTCCCCCCGACGCCCCTGGGAGAGTGACACATGTCTCCGCCGCCGCCACCTCCCGGTCGACCTCTTCGCTCCAGAGGTCATTCCTCCGGCCTCCCGAGGCATCAGAGCCAGGCACCAAATTACACGACTGTTGAATCACAATTGGAGTGTCGAGAATTCGAGAAGCCCGCCTCCTAGGACACTGGGCTGCCATGTGCTCATAAGAGCTACATAGACGACATGTTTTCCGTTGCCCAGCATAGTACACATAAACCCTGTGTTCTACAACCGATCATCGTAACATAGGATGGTATAAGGCCTTGTTAAGGTCTTTTAAGGGTGTAAGAACCTTCCGGCATTCCTTCATATGGACCATCCCTCCACACCCCCATTGTTGCAGAATGCACTGTCCCATAAATTCGAAAAAACTCCTGCAGGCCATAAGCCGTAGCCTCGAAGGGTACATTCCGTACCTTCACCCATGTGAAGTACTTAGAGACGTCATGTAACACAACATCCATCGTTGAATTCACACTCATGCGTTTTCCTGGTAATGCTCGACAATTCTTGTGTAGTAATCGACTCGTAGAAATTTCACAAAGATTCTTGTTAAACCATTAAGGGCGACGCCATACAATTCCTCGTTGGGAATACCATATGTATCCCTGATGATGTTAGGGAGAAGGACGTTCATCGTATCTCCACTTAACGTACCACGAACCAGCTCTATGCAGATAGTATTCACTCTCCGTACTGTATGTTCCGCCATGTTGATATCCCAATGAGCAGCGCACGTCCTCACTACTCAATGGTTGTTGCTGAACTCCCCATTGTTAGTCTGTGAATTGAAATTAATGGGATTTTGGAATGCCAAAATAATTTCTTTGGATATCTTTCGTGTAAGGGAGTAATAAGCTTCATATTGCAGTGGTTGTGTCGATCAGTCTGGTTATCATCCATTTCTAAGTAAGTGGACGTCTGACTTCTGTACTACACATTCTTGTACATGGAATGGAATACAGACTACAAGAGAAGACTGTGAGTTGGAACCTGCACCACATCACACCTGCCTCCAATACACCCCACCTCAACAATGTTGTCCTCAGTGGAAGTGCAGGTAAATGTATTAGCAAGTGGAAAAATTTTGTATCGTGTGTTACTCGGAGTTATTTTTTTTTTTTTTTTTTTCATTTTTTAGGGGGTGTTTTTGATAAATCTGGAGACTTGCATGAAATTGGCCATACCTGGAGCACGGAAGATCCTTGTTTACTACTCAAATGTACCGATGAGGGAAAACCTTCGAACGAGTACTGTGTACAGATCTTCGTCCCCATCCTACATGTACTGAATACATACCAGTAGGAGAGTGCTGCAGGAAATGGAATTGCAGGTGAGGGATGGTAAACCAAATGTCTAGACTTGCTAAAAGAAAACCTAGATACATTAATGAAGCTGTAGATCTTTGATACCTTTCTCGTATCTTCGGTAAAATGTAAATTTCTTCGAAAAGTTGCATTTTGAATTTATAATCTTTCAGTTCGTGTGTCGATAATGGCAAGTCTCGACGGTTATATGAATTCTGGAAGAGCGACTCTTGCACAACTAACTTTTGCACGAAGAATGGGACGCAGACTATTAGAGAAACTTGCAAGAAGACCGATGCGCCTCATCCCAGCTGTCAGAAAATTCTCCCAGAAGGAGAATGTTGTCCCGACTGGCGCTGTAGGTGGGTGTGTTCATCTTCCCAGTATTGGTTAAAATGAATTTAACCTTGTAAACTGCTAGTTAGGCAGTGACTTCTAGATTTTATGCAAGTTTTGTCTTCAGTAATCTGTCCAATTTTTTTTCTTGCCTAAGATTTAATAGAAAAGTACGACATGAGGTACAGGTAAGTACAGCTTTGTGAGGTACAGACAAGTACAGCTTTGTGAGGTACAGACAAGTACAGCTTTGTAGACTTGACGTTTTATGCCTTAATTAGCTTATTTTGCTGGTATAGTGACAATGAATTTTTAAACGCTCGAGTCATCGTGTTGGTTGCTTTACACACAATGGTAAGACAGGAAATTAGTGAGGCGTAATTTTGGTGTATGCTATTTTAAATTATACGTAGCCTATACTAGTTCAACGATAATGCAAATTTACTTTTTTCTTTTAGCATGGAGAATTAAATGAGTAATCTGAACTGTAGTTAAAAAGTAAACTGTTAATACATTTTATGAATGACTTCGTTGTAAATTGGCGGATTTTTAAACTGAAAGTCTTAAGCTGCTGCCTCTGTAAGAACCTCTGACCGTTACTGTAGCAAGGCTACAGTAACTGATAGACTGAGGGACTGATTACCTCAAACTATTACTATTCTTCCACCGTTCTTCTCTATATTGGACTGAAGAAGCCACTGGCTAACGAAACTTCTCTCAAAAATCCCCAAATCTTTCCACAAGTCTCATTCTTCAGCTTCTATGCCATTTACAGTACATACTAGTTAATATCTTGCCATACCCTGAAGAGATTTTTCAGAGTTCTTAGATGAGAGACTAAAACGGAGTAAGGTTTCCACTGATGACTTTAGTAAAGTGTAACGCTTCAGCTCCGTAAAGTTTCCAATCGTGAAAATTATACTGAGCTGGTTGGTACCTTAGTGTAGAAGGGTATTAGATTAGACTTAGATTTTGCCACCGAAGTGGCTAGTTTGTGCACCCCATATCCATACTGTGGACGGTAGTGCAAGAACATAGAGATACACTAAAAACCTAAGAACTAGGCTCCAAAAAAGTTTACAGGAGTATATCTGAATTTATATCTGTTCAATTATCTATTAAAATGTATAAAATTTGCTTAATATATCTGGTATCTGGTTTTCATTAACAAGACATCTTGACATGTCATAGGTTATTATACTGAGGAGAGGTCTAAGAGCCACATCAAGTTTACTGACAATTCTGAATAGTGAAATTCCTAAAATTTAGTATTTTTTTCTGTAACAGCCTCCATGAAAAGCAGCACAGCCTAACTTCACAGACTTCCTGATACCCAGGATCTGGTTTGGGATTATGTAGCATTAATTTAAAAATTGTGTATGGGGAGGGGGTGTACCATGGCTACTCTGCTCCGGATAATTTTATGCTTTATATTAAGCATTTTTTGATATTAATAATGCAATGGTTGGGTTTAATTAATGTTGGTTACTTAAACTTAGTATGATGGTATGTGATGTGCTCGTTGGTTTTAGTCTGCTGATATTTTTAGTGTATCTTATCTATGGGCGCTGTGATTACACTGTCAAATTTTTCGGTAAATATCGTAAGTATACTTAAAGCTCTGTACTTCAACTTCCAGCTTAATTTAAATACGAAGTTCAGCAAAGCTGAAAAGTCAGTCTGAAGCATTGAGATGCTTCTCTTTTGGTAAGCTGGCTGCAGGATAACTCTTTATATCTATCGAAAATATATTTTCGGAACTTTTCCCAACTAGACTAGGCAGTGTGTTTCGGCAATGCTTGGTTATTATGCTAGTATAAAGCTTACTGATAGATGGTCTTTTGGTTTCATTTAGCATAAAGAATTTTTTTCCATAACTATATACATATACCCTTTCATTAAATAGAAACCGTAAATTGTGTGCAAAGAGAAAAAATTCCTAAAACCTGGGTCAAATTGTAATTGTTATTTTTCTAGTTTATGCTTTTTCATTTATTGCACGAAATTCATTAACGCAACCACTAGTGTTCAGTCCTAACGATTTTTTTTTAAAGATGTGGGTATATCTAATTGTCCTCCATGAAAGCCAGTGCAACTACGTTATCACTGATTTTTTGTATCCAGATTCAGGTTTTCGGGAATACGGTATTCCAAAATTTTTAATGGATGGGGAGGAGGAAAATAATTTTTGGTTACAGTGATGAGTGACTTTAAAATTTTTTTTTTTTTAACTGATTTCAGAAACTTGTACAGCTTCCCAAAATATTGATTTGCGGATCAACGCCTCGATGTGTGGATTTTTAGTTGCACTGTTTAGTGAATCGTTAAATAGCGTTTATTACCAATCTGAAAAAGTTCCAAAATTTGTACTTGGGGCGGCGCCCCTTGGCATATTTTGCTTGCTGAATTTTAATGAAACTCAGCCCAAATGAAATTTTTTCTTAGAGCTTAAAATTAAGATAGCCCCCTGATAAGGTGGGTATGGGGGAACAAGTCTTTGAACTCCCCCTTCCCCATTACCGCCTCCTGAAATGAGTTGGGTACGAATGTCGCCCATCACGTGACATGTGGGTTTGGGAGCGAGAAGATTCCAACAGCCTCATGACGGGAGGATGTGGAGGATGACTCGCCACTGCCTCCTGGATGACGATGGTGAGGGAAGTCCCTCACACCTGCCTCTTGATAATAGGAGAAGGGGCATTCTCCCCCCTCATACATTTCCTGTGAAGGCGGGTGTGGGGGGCTGAGTCCTCCAAACCCGTCTCTTGACAAGGCAGGTGCCGGGAAGAAAACTTGAAAACCGTCAGAAGAATTAGCAAAGGAAATTTTTAACATTATTAATAATAGCTTAAGACTCAAACACCAAGTCAGCACCAGATTGTTAGCTTACTTTCGTTAATAGGATTAAAAGCTCACTTGAATCGTAATTCTCAATTCCCTTGAACTGTAACTGAAGACTGACGGCTCATTAATGCTTAAATTTTAGTTACGATTCCCCTCAAGGAACGTTCCTTGATGTTGGTGAGGGGCTCTTGATTTAGGGAATTGGATCTGTGCTCCAGTTCCCCGAATTAAGCCTGAATGCCTTCCACATCCCCCCCCAGGCGCTGTATAATCCTCCGGGTTTAGCGCTTCCCCCTTGATTATAATAATATAGCTACGATTCTTAGGGTTTTGTAACCTCTTTTTTTTTTTTTTAAGTTAACCTGTTACTGTTCCAGGGGCTGCTTTGATGCCAGTGGAAATTATCATGAAATAGACGATGAATGGAGCATGAAAGACCCATGTTTAATGTTCCTGTGTTCTGATGAAGGGATAATAATGAAACGCTTAAAATGCACACGTACTCCGTCGCTTTATCCTCATTTTTTATGAATATAAAGCCCAGGGAGAGTGCTGCCCAAGGTGGAACTCAGCAGGTAAGGATTTCGTATAACTGGATAAGTAGTGTATTACGTTCATGTAGTTATTGAAAGCCAACATTCAAATTATTAATAACTTGCATTCTGGTCATAGTATTCCGCTTATTGTATAATTTTACTACTGAAAGATGAACCGGTCTCGGATTCGGATATTTAGTCTTTTTCACCTACCTAGATATTATTGATATCAGAATACCAGCATAAATGTTTAGTTAGTATAAAGACTGGGAGTAACTTTATACGAAATAATACAGGCATTAACATTAAGCATAAATCGTGGTCTACAGGATAACTCCTTTTCAAGGGGGTTTCCTTGGCGTGGTGAAGAGGCTCTTGGTCTGAGGAATTAGACCTGTTGGTCTCCTTCCTCAGACCGAACCTAATTGCCCCCCCACTCCCCCCGTCCCTATCTCATCCTCCCTTTCTCCTGTCGTCGTCCTCCTCTCCGTCCCTCCCTTATTCCCTTCCTCTTTTTGGCCTTTGGAATTCTTCCCACAGGCATGCTAGTTCCTAGGTAGGGGGAAGGGCACCGGGGCCCATCCCATCCCATTCCGTTGAGGTTCTAGGCGATGGTGTAGTTTGCCGTGGAATCTGGATCTCCTGGGGATATCCCGATCCCTCTCCTGTCTCCCGTGGGGTAGCTTTGGGTGTCTTTCGGGCGACGGGTGTATCTCTGGAAGCCGCCTTTCGGATTCCGGGGGTGGTGGCCAAAGGAGGTATGCTTTGTGGCAGATATCCAGCCGCCCTCTCTTTTGTCCGTGGAGGTAGCTCGGCAGATGTGAGGTTGCTATCCCAGATTGCTGGTTTACTGGCATGATGGGTGGGGTATGGCATGGGTTCCACGCCGCATCTGCACTACTTGCGCGGAGGGAGATTTCCGGCCCTTTCATTCCTCCTAGGAACTATTCCTCCCCATTCCCCCCTTTTTTTATTCTTTTTTATTTTTAATTTCTTTCTTTTTATTTCTTTCTTTTTTCTTAAAAACAAAAAGAAAGAACCTAACCATGGAAGACCCAGTCCCTTTTCCTACTACCACCGGGCCCCTTCTTGATACCGCACCCTGTTCTGACCCTGCCTCGTTTTTTGACCACTCTTTGGACACTCCTGATGCCCCTGTGCCTCTTGCTGGTGCTGTTTCATCACTCGCTTCAGTTACCGGGGTCTCGACTGACTCCCTCGATTTGTCTGACCTCCGCCCTCCTTTGATAATGCTACTGGCCTCTCCCTCTACGGTGCGGCAATTTTCAAATTGCCAGCCCATCCCACGTCGGACCAACTCTGGTCCCACTTCTAAAACACCAACATCAATTGCCTGATGATACTTCGCCACCTTCCCGTTCTACTCAGAAAAGACAGACACGTCATGCACTCCCTTTCCACGCTCATTTTCGGACTGCACGATGGACTAAATTCTTTACTTTATGACCGACTTCCTCTATTACCTATCTTTCCGACCATAGCATTGACAAGGCGCTCCTATGCCATATTGTTAGATATATTTCCATTCATGCTCTCAAGAGTGGTACGCGCATCATCACTGTCCAGAATGCTACCCAAGCTCATGATCTTTCTCTTCTTTCACACATCGATACTATTCCTGTCACTATTGAAAAAACATCATTCCCTCAATTCTTGTAGTGGTACTGTCATTCTGCCCCATGCCATAGTCCAACAGAATTTCCAGACGTGGCAATGACATTCTCGAACAGCTGGAACTCCAAGATCTCCCAATCCTGAAAGTAGACACTTGTGTCCTTCCTGCCCTCGGGCGGAGACGATACCCTTGCAATGTGGCTCGATTAACTTTTGACAGCCATGAACTCCCATCCTCTGTTTATGTAACAGGACATGGTGACAAGTTCGAAAGGTGATCCCTACACCGCAACAGTGTAGAAATTGCTGGCGATTTGGTCACCCAGCGAAATATTGCAGATCTATAGCCGAATGCCCAGTCTGTGGTACCGATGACCATTCTAATGTGTCTTGTAGCCGACCTGCCTCTTGTCTTAATTGTCATGAGGCTCGCCCTTCTTACTCTCGCCGTTGCCAGGTCTACTTTAATGAGCGGGAAATCCGTTGCCTCAAAGAGACAGAAGGTCTCCCTTATGCTATGGCAGTTTCTCATCTATGCCTCCAAAGGAGATTACCCCCCGTATTTCTTATTCTCGTGTTTCTAAACGTCCCCTCACTTCTAGGATTCCATCTTCTGCAACCTCCTCTGTGGTTACCCCTCCCATAGTCACTCCTGTCTCTAATACTTTTGCTGTTCTGGGCTCAAAGTCCCTACTTCAAACACCTCAGTCTGCTCTCGCATCTTCGTGTTCTCCTTCACAAGCCCCGGTATCGACAAGACCTCGTACGACACCTCCTCCCAATCGCCCCTCTACTTCTCAAAAGTCCAAGAAATCCTCATTGCTCAAATCTCCTTTAACCCCTCCTTCCCTTCTTCCACCTCCACATTTTATCTTTCCAGTATCTGTACCTGGTTCTTCCCTCAGCCCTTTCTACCTCAATCGCTTGCTACCCTCTACCCTTGCACTATCCACTGCTCCGCTGTTCTCTGTAACCTACTAATCATCCCTCTCCCTTTTGCCACCTGATACCCTCGCTTCCTTCCTGCCCTGCAGCGCTGTATAGCCCTTGTGGTTTAGCGCTTCTTTTTTATTATAATAATACAGGCTAACTGACTTCTGTACAATACTAGTTAAACAAATTCTGACTATGCTTTGCATTTTCAGACATGAACACTAGTATATTAGACATGAATATATTGCATGTTAAAAGTAAATCTCATAAACACCCTAAAATTATCTAACCAGCACAGAATAGCAGCCAACATTTTTGGTACATGTGGAAAAGCAATATAGTTTCACCATATTCTCTAATGGTGGATAAAATCCCACATACCACAATATCTAGGCAAAAATTCTATTCCTGACGTCCATATCTAGAACAACACTCAAAACGTAAAAGCTTAGAGATGCAAGGGTTCTGTATACAAGAGCGTCCAGGGTCAGGCTCGAGTCCCACCCCCAATACCTAACTAGCTTAGGAGAGAAAACGTCCCTCATCCTATCAATCACATAGGTATCGATGAACTCGTTCTAATAGGGTCAAGAGAGGTCGCACCACAAAAAATACCAACTAAAGGGGGACAAAAGTTATTTCCAGAATACTGGCCCACCTGCTAAAAAGTTTATACAATATAATACAATATATTCACATCTTGTGAATAATTCCCCATTTCTACAATTAGTGAAACTAAATTAGCAAAAAACGTTTTTACACAGCATTCTATTAATGTTTACAGTGTTAAGTTTTCCCCAAATGCTAATTTCACCTTTTGCAAGTTAGTGTTTCGTACTAGTTTGACAGTAATTCAGCGTCAAAGCTAACGTTCTATATTTCGCCAAGAAAAATACTCTTGCTCTAAAATAAGCATTAAATTATATGCTTTGTACATGTACCTCTGCAAATTTTCTAGTGGCTGCATAGACGACACTGGTGAACATCCATGTATGATACGTGGAAGACAGACTCGTGCACAACACACGTTTGCACAAGGGATGGTGTTCAGGTACTGAAGGAGACTTGCACTCTTGGCCCTGCCACCTCATCCTAGTTGCCTAAGGGAAACTCCCGAAGACTCGTGCTGTGCGAATGGAAAATGCAGGTTAGTGCATTGTATTCTTATTTATCTTTACCGTAGTTGGGCTTTATATTGTTGAACTTGTACCTAGTAGTTCTTTTTTTTTCCTTAAGAGTTTGGGTAGTTAAACTATTGCAGCTAAAGGGGACACGTAAATATAAATAGGAATACTGTAATTGGCTCTTTTCTAGGAATATTTTTTTTTTAATTTTGGTATCTTGACAGTGATCGTAACTCCCCACGAAATGAAAAGCGAATGGAGCACTGGAGGATCCTTGTTTAGTTTCATTATGTACAGAAAAGGGAATAATAATGAAGAAAACAGAATGTACAAAAAGTGGTGAGCCTTATCCTGGGTGTTTAGAATATATCCCAGAGGGAGAATGTTGTCCAAAATGGAACTGCAGGTTAGTGTTCAATGTTCGAATTCATGTAGTTCACTGTAAGCTTGTTAGGTTAATTTTTGGTGTACTGTTAGTGAAGAAAGGCTAAATTAACGAAGATGATAGCCGAAGGTCTGGTAAATAGTAACAGACATTTTAAAGAAAAAAGGTTGAACATTGAATAGATAGGCAGTTTACTGATAGTAAATAAATATTTTAAGAACTGAATTTGGTTTAATAGAAATTCTGTGGTTTGAATTACCGTAATTTACATTTAGGACAATGGTTGGCTAGCAAACGTTAAGGAAGGGGGGTAAAAAATCCCTGAAGATAAATATCCCAAAATGGTATATTTTTATTTTCACTGCTTATCTGTCAGCATCCACATCCTGAAACCAATTATTACATCGGGTTAATATACTTTCTACCCAGTGGCCCAATTAAAAAATCGTAATTAAAAAGACTGGCGGCATTCTTCTCCCCATATTTAAGTAATCCATCCAGTGGGTTACTTAAATTATTTATATATTTTATATATATTTATATATACCCCGCATAACGATTACCTCCGAATGCGACCAATTATGTAAGTGTATTTATGTAAGTGCGTTTGTACGTGTATGTTTGGGGGTCTGAAATGGACTAATCTACTTCACAATATTTCTTATGGGAACAAATTCGGTCAGTACTGGCACCTGAACATACTTCTGGAGTGAAAAAATATCGTTAACCGGGGGTCCACTGTATGTTCGTAGACCGCAGCCACTCAGGGAGGTACTACCGTCCTGCCAAGTGAGTGTAAAACGAAAGCCTGTGATTGTTTTACATGATGGTAGGATTGCTGGTGACTTTTTTTTTTTTTTTTTTTTTTTTTTTTTTTTTTTTTTTTTTTTTTTTTTTTTTTTTTTTTTTTTTTTTTTTTTTTTTTTTTTTTTGTCTCGCAAACGTTCAAGATTTCAATAGGTCTTGCTACGTCTACTTACATATAGGTCACACTACACATGCATGTACAAGCATATACACACACTTCTGGGTTTTCTTCTGTTTTTCTTACTAGTTCTTGTTCATTTCCACTTATCTCCATGGGGGAAATGGAACAGAATTCTTCCTACATAAGACATGCGTGTCTTAAGAGGGCGACTAAAATGCTGGGAGCAAGCGGGCTAGTAGCCCCTTCTCTTCTATATTTTACTAAATGTAGAAGACTATCCTAGCCTATCCCACACTATCCTAGGCTATCCAAGCCTATCTAACACTATCCTAAGCTATCCCAGTATATCCCACAATATCCTAGCCTATCCCACACTATCCTAGGCTATGCTAACCTATCCTAGCCTATCCCACACTATCCTAGGCTATGCTAACCTACCCTAGCCTATCCCCTGCTATCCTAAGCTATCCCAGACTATCCTAGCCTATCCTATATCCTAGGCTATGAAAACCTTTCTTAGCCTATCCCACATTATAATAGGCTATCCAAGATTATCCTAGCCTATCCTACATTACCCGAAGCTATCCCAGCCTATCCAACACTATCCTACCCTATCCTACCCCACTGTCCAACCCTATCCAACATTATCCTAGGCCATCCCACACTATCGTAGGCTATCTTACACTATCCTAGGCTATTCCAGCGTATCCTAGCGTATTCCACACTATGCTAGGCTATCCCAGCCTATTCCACACTAAACTAGGCTATCCTAGCCTATCCAACATTAACGTAGGCTATCCAAGCCAATCCTAGGATATACCACTATCCAAGCCTATCCTAGAATATCCCAGCCTATCCTAGAATATCCCAGCCTATCCTAGAATATCCCAGCCTATCCCACACTATCCTAGCTTATACCACACTATCCAAGGCTATCCTAGCCTCTCACTATCCTAGGCTACCCCAGCCTATCTTAGCCTATCCCCCACTATCCAAGGCTATCTTAGCCTATCCCACGCAATCCTACCCTATCATAGCCTGTTCCATAATATCCTAGGTTATCCCAGCCTATCCAATATTACCCTAGCATATCCCACCTTATCCTAGGCTGTTCCAGGCTATCCTAGCCTATCCCCCACTATCCAAGGGTATCACAGCCTATCCCCCACTGTCGTAGGCTATGCAGGCTATCCTACCCTTTCTCACCCTATCCTAAGTTATCATAGCCAATTCTGCACTATCCTAGGTTATCCTAGCCTATCCCACACTATCCTAGGTTATCCTAGAGCATCCCACATTATCCCAGCCTATCATAGCCTATCCTACACTATTCTAGGCTACCCCAGCCTACCCCACACTATCCTAGCCTATCCAGCATTATCCTAGGGTATCAACCTATCCCCCACTGTCTTAGGCTATCCTAGCCTCTCTCACTATCCTAGGTTACCCGAGCCTATCCTGCACTATCTTAGGCTATCATAGAAAATGCCACACTATCCAAGACTATCAAAGCCTATCCCACAGTATCCTAGGCTATCCTAGCCTGCTCCACACTATATAAGGCTGTCATAGCCTATACTACACTATCCAAGGCTATCCCTGCCTATGCCACACTATCCTAGGCTATCCTAACCTATGCCACACTATCCTAGGCAATCCTAGCCAATCCCACACTATCCTAGGCTGTCCCACTATCCTAGGCTGTCCCACTATCCTAGGCTATCCCATCCTATTCTAGGCAAACACCCACTATCCTAGGTTATCCTAGCATTCCCTAGCGTATCCCACACTATCCAAGGCTATCCTAGCCTATCCCAAAGTATCCTAGCTTATCCCACACTATCCTAGGCTAACCTAGCCTATCCCACTATTCTAGGTTATCAAAGCCTATCCTAGGCTAACCTAGCCTATCCCACTATTCTAGGCTATCAAAGCCTATCCCTCACTATCCCAGCATATCCCACACTATCCTAGCCTATTAACCCATCGTAGCCTATCCCAATCTATCCTTAGTTATTCCAGCTTATCCCACACTATTCTAGGCTATCACAGCCAATCCTCGCCTTTCATACACAATCGTGGGATATCCCAGCCTATCCTACATCCGAGGCTACCTCTGCGCATACCACACTAATCTAGCCTATTCCACGCTATCCTAGTCTATTGCATACCATCCTAGGGTATCCCAGCCTATGCCAAACTGTACTATGGTATCCTAGCCTCTCACACTATTCTAGGTTATCCTAGCCTATCCTAATCTATCAAAGGCTACCCTTTCCTATCCCACAGTATCCTATTCTATCCCTGCCTATCTTTCCCACACTATCATAGGCTATCTTAGCCTATCCCCCCTATTCCACATTATCGTAGCCTATCCCATATCCTAGCCTATCCCACCTAATCCTAGGATGCCCCAGGCAATCCTAGCCTATTCCACACTATCCTAGGCTACCCTAGCATATCCCACACTATCCTAGGCTATCTCAACCCATCGTAGCTTATTCCAATCTATCCTCAGCTATTCTAGCCTATCCCACACTATTCTAGGCTATCGCAGCCAATCCTCGCCTCTCCCACACTATCGTAGGCTATCTCACAGTATCCTAGGCTATCCCAGCCTATCCCACAATATCCTAGGCTGTTCCAGCCTTTCCTATCCTATCCCACAGTATCCTATTGTATCCCAGCCTATCATAAACTTTCTCACACTGTCCTAGGTTATCCCACCCAGTCCTAGCCTATCCAACACTATCCTAGGTTCTACACTATCCTAGCCTATCCCACACTATCCTAGGCTATCCCACCCTATCCTACACTATCCTAGGCTATGCTACCCTATTCCTGCCTATCCCACTATCCTAGGCTATCCTACAGTATTCTGGGCTATCCCACTATCCTAGGATATCCTATTGTAGCCCATCCCGCACTTTCCTTTGGCTACCGTATCCTAGCCTATCCCACACTATCCAAGGCTATCCTACCCAATGCTAGTCCATCCCACACTATCCTACCCTGTCCTAATCTGTCCCATACTATCCGAGGCTATCCTACCCAAATCTAGCCTATCCCACACTATCCTACCCTGTTCTAACCTATCCCACAATCCTAGGCTATCCTACCCTATCCTAGCATATCCCACCATCCTAGGCTATCCTACCATTTGCTAGCCTATCTCCCACTATCCTAAAGTATCCTAGCGCATCACACACTATCCTAGCCCATCCTACCCTATTCTAGCATATCCCACTATCCTAGGCTATCCTACACTATCCTAGCATATCCCACTATCCTAGGCTATATTCCGCTATCCTAGCCTATCCCACACTATCCTAGGCTATCCCAGCAACCCCAGCTACCTATCCCCCTATCCTCGGTATCCTACACTTTTTGGCCCTTTTTCACTCACCCCTTTGGCTAAAATAGCTCCCCCCACATTATCCTACTCCATTCTCCCCCCTATTCCACACAACCAGGCTACCCTTTTCCCCATCCCCCCTTTTAGGCTTCATAGCCAACCCCACACTACCTTGGCTATGACCCTATCCTGGGCTACCCTCCCCTCTTTTAGCCTACCCCCACCATCCTGGGCTATCAAGCCCCTGGTACCTACCCTATAACAGTCCTAGGACTCCTAGTCACCCTAGTCTTTACTAAACCTCGCATACTACCTATTCTAACCCACCCACCTATCCAACCTATCCCACCTTTTCCAAAACCCATCCCCCCTCCTAGGCTAACCTAGCCTATCCCACATATTCTAGGGTTTTCCTACCCTGTCCCATGCTTTTTAGCCAAAACCAACACTAACCTAGGCTATCCACAGT